TTGAGGCAGCAATTAATAGCCTACCAACCAAAAAAAAACCCAGGTCCTGATGGGTTTACAGCCTAATTCTACCAGATGTACAAAGAGGAGATGGTACCACCCCTTCTGAAACTATTCCAAACTATACAAAAAGAGGGAATCCTTCCCAAAACATTTTATGGGACCAACATTATCATGATACCAAAACCCAGCAGAGACTCAATTAAAAAAGAAAACTTCAGGCTAATATCCATGATGAACATAAATGCAAATATCTTCAATATAATACTGGCAAACTGATTGCAACAGCAAATCAAAAAGCTTATCCATCATGATCAAGTAGGCTTCATCCTGGGGCTGCAAGGCTGATTCAACATAAGCAGGTGTATAAATGTAATCCACCACATAAACAGAGCCAGTGACAAAAACCACATGATTATCTCAATAGATGCAGAGAAGGCCTTCAACAAAATTAAACAGAGCTTTATGCTAAAAATTCTGAAGAAACTAGTTATTAATGGAACCTATCTCAAGATAATAGCTATTGACAACAATATCATACTGATGGGCAAAAACAGGAAACATTCCCTTTGAAATCTGACACTAGACAAGAATACCCTCTCTCACCACTCCTATTCAATATAGTATTGGAAGTTCTAGCCAGAGCAACCAGGCCAGAAAAAGAAATAAAGCATATTCAATTACAAAGGGAGGAAGTCAAACTGTCTCTATTTGCAGACGACATGACTGTGTAATTTGAAGACCCCATTGTCTCAGCCCAAAATCTCCTGAAACTGATCAGCAACTTTAGCAAAGTCTCAGGATATGAAATAAATATGCAGCAATCAGAAGCATTCCTATATACCAATAACAGACTAACAGAGAGCCAAATCATAGAGAACTCTTAACTACTACAAAAAGAATAAAATACCTAGAAGTACAACTAACAAAAGACGTAAAGGACTTCATCAAGGACAACTACAAACCACTGCTCAAGGAAATAAAAGAGGACACAAACAGATGGAAAAACATTCCATGCTCATAATTAGGAAGAATCAATATTGTGAAAATGGCCATATTGCCCAAAGTAATTTATAGATTCAATGTTATCTCCATCAAGCTACCTATGATCCTCTTCACAGAACTGGAAAAGGCACCTTAAACTTAATATGGAGCCAAAACAGAGCCCGCATTGCCAAGACGATCCTAAGCAAAAAGAACAAAGCTGGAGGCAACATGCTACCTGACTTCAAACTATACTACAAGGCTATAGTAATTAAAACAGCATGGTACTGGTACCAAACAGAGATATAGACCAATGGAACAGAATATAGGCCTTGGAGGCAACACCACACATCTACGACCATCTGATCTTTGACAAACCTCACAAAAACAAGCAATGGGGAAACACTTCCCTATGTAATAAATGGTATTGGGAAAACAGCTGGCCATGTGCAGAAAACAGAAACTGGATCCTTTCCTTGACACCTTAAATAGTTCCAGATGGATTAAAGACTTAAACATAAGACCTAACACCATAAAAACCCTAGAACAAAACCTAGGCAAAACCATTCAGGACATAGGCATAGGCAAGGACTTCATGACTAAAACACCAAAAGCAATGGCAACAAAAGCCAAAGCAGACAAATGGGATCTAAGTAAACTCCAGAGCTTCTATACAGCAAAAGAAACAATTAGTAAAGTGAAGTAGTGACCAATAGAATGGGAAAAAAAAATTTGTAATCTACCCACCTGAAAAAGGGCTAATATCCAGAATCTACAAAGAGCTAAAACAGATTTATAAGAAACAAACAAACAAGCCCATTCAAAAGTGGGCAAAGGATATGAATAGACACTTTTCAAAAGAAGACATATATGAGGCCAATAAACATGAAAAAATGCTCATCATCTCTGGTCATTAGAGGAATGCAAATCAAAACCACATTGAGATACAATCTCACACCAGTTAGAATGGCAATCATTAAAAAATCTGGAGAAAACAGATGCTGGAGGGTATGTGAAGAAACAGGAACACTTTTATACTGTTGGTCGAAGTGTCAAGTAGTTCAACCATTGTGGAAGAGAGTGTGGTGATTCCTCAAGGATCTAGAAATAGTAATACCTTTTGACCCAGCAATCCCATTACTGTGTATATACTCAAAGTATAAAAATCATTCTATTATAAAGGTACATTAACATGTATGTTCATTGGGACACTGTTTACAATAGCCAAGACCTGGAATCAACCCAAATGCCCATCGACGATAGACTGGACAAGGAAAATGTGGCACATATATACCATGGAATAATATGCAGCCATAAAAAACTATGAGTTCATATTCTTTGTAGGGACATAGATGAATCTGGAACCATCATTCTCAACAAACTGTCACAAGAACAGAAAACCAAATACCACATGTTCTCACTCATAGGCGGGTGTTAAACAATGAGAACACATTGATACAGGGAGGACAACATCACACACTGGGGCCTGTTGGCGGAGGCTAGGGGAGGGACTTTGGAGGGTGGGGAGGTTGCGGAAGGTTAAGATGGGGATAAATGCCAGATATAGGTGATGGGATGGAGGCAGCAAACCACATTGCCATGTGTGTACCTATGCAACAATCCTGCATGATCTGCACATGTACCCCAGAACCTAAAGTACAGTAAAAAATAATATTTCTCTGATATACATTTTAACTCATCATTTGCATAAAGCAACATATTTTGCTCAAGGCATGTAATCTGTCATTAGCATAAAACTGTTCGAAATTACATTAAAATAGAATGTGAACACCAGAGTACAATTACTTGTACATATGGCATTTTTAGTACATTTATTAGAAACAGGTTTCTTCTACCTTCTCAATATTCTTTCAATTTAATCTTTATTACTAAATCAAAATACTCCTACAAAAATTAAGTTGCATAAGAAATCTAAAGGTAATTGAATTCTATTTTCAAAAATATTTTATTTCTATCCTTACAATCTCTTCCCATAAATCTTTTCAAGCAACATTTAGTATACTTAGTCTTGAAATAAAAGGTGCTATTATCAAAGTAGTAATTTTTTTAAAAAATATGGCACATATCTTAAAATGTCATCTTAATTTCTTTTACTCAAAGTTTTAAAATTTTCATGAAATACACAAAAACTCAAAAAAAATGTTCAACACAATAAAAAATTTACCTAAATTTGTATTCATAGTTTCTGTTGTGCTATCTATAGCAATACTAAAGGAATTTTTATTTTAACATTAAAACTTAAGGTAAACATTAAATGTGTTTTAAACAGAAAGTTAACACACAACGCAAATCCAAGAAAATTTAAAATATATTTTAAAAAATTATTTAAAAAGTTAGAAAATTAAATTTCAAAAAAAAAAAACATTAAAAGACTCAGGAAAGACAAAAGACACCAATTTGTGGGAAGCATTTTCAAAATAAAATGGAAGATTTTATAATTACTTATTAGTCATTTGATTTGCAGGATGATGTAGAGATCCAGAAATATTGAGGAAATTCATGACAGTATGTCAGAAATATTACTAGATGATGAATTAGGAGACATATAATCATGCTTATTATGTTATTAATTTTTTAAATTTTACTTTGTTCTTGGATACAAGTGTTGAATGTGCAGGTTTGTTACACAGGTATACGTGTGCCATGGTGGTTTGCTGCACCTATCAACCCATCATCTAGGTTTTAAGCCCCTCATGCATTAGGCATTTATCCTAATGCTTTCCATTTCTTTGGCGCCAATCCCCCAACAGTCCCCAGTGTGTGATGTTCCCCTCGCTGTTTCCATGTGTTCTCATTGTTCTACTCCCACTTATGAGTGAGAATGTGAGGTGTTTGGTTTTCCATTCCTTTGTTACTTTGTTGAGGATGATGGTTTCCAGCTTCATCCATGTCCTTGCAAAGGACATTGAGGATGTCTGGCCTGCAGATCCTGACTGAATCATGGATGAATGCACTCTCACACGATTACGTTGATTCAAGTGGGCTAGGGATTGATGCTGGCTGCTTTCAGAGGGTGAAATGCAACCAATCGACCAAGACTCCCTGTTCGTCCACACTTTTATTCTGTAGATTTTACAACAGAGGCTCTAAGTTAACATACTTGTAGATAATTAACATGGTTAAGAGAATATTTTTACGATTGACAAAAGCTTTAGGTTTGGAGGCTCAGAGTAAACACTACTAACAAGTAATTCCCCTTTGATCTGCCTCTGAGGGGACCATCTAGTACAAAATTTACATGAGTAAAGAGCATGGAGACAAAGGGATATGTAGTAAACAGGGTTAAAGTGGGAAAGCCTCTTATCATCCCTATCTTCTCCTTAACTTAATGGATCTGCCACCTTTGGCCTGTCCCAATAAAACCTCTGGCCTTCCAAAAGGTTTAGGACCATAATCTATCACTTTCCCTAATATTTTTCATAATATTTTGCTGCCACCCCAAGTGAATCTCAACAGGACATGAACCCATTCTTCTTTATGGCTGCACATTATGTTATTTTGGAAGATACATATACACAGATAGATATATTTTATCTATTATGTCTATTTGAAAATATTTTGTGCATGTATATGCTAATCATGAAAGAGATCATGTTACTCAGTCATAAAAATATATTTACTTTTCTATGATAGGCCAATTTTGAGATTTGTTTTCTAAGGATAGAGTCATTTCAAAAAACAGTTCCCTCTTCCGCCAAAAATGAATTTGCCATCAAATGGCAAAATTGAAATCAAAAATGAAATAAAAAATGAAATCACAGAGTTAAGTAGACCATTTTCATCTTATGTTCTTATATACCTAGGAACTGACACTTCTCCACATAATGTGTCCTGAAATTTGGTATGAATTAAGTTTGGTTATAGAGAAAATCATGCACAAAGGAGTAAGAAAAAAGACAATTTATAAGGACACAAAAAATTATGAAACAAAGAAAAAGGTTAGAACTACAAAAATGCCAACATTATTTGCTCCAATTCTCTTCTATCTTCAAATTATCCATTTTACTCCAGGTTGCAGCTTCCAGCAGGGTAGCCTTTGCTTAGGAATCTTGTAATTATACAGTGGCCCTGTAACTGGGGGTGTCAGTGTTGCTGCCAATGGCTCTGGCTTCAGCTCTTGTGTCAGCAGCCAGTAGTAGCTCCTGGTGATAGGTGGGGCATGTCAATGGGTCCCAAGGATGTAAAGATGCAGGGACTGTTGGATCCCAGGACTGGAGACAGTCTGATGGGGCTTGAGCTCTCAAAATGCCTTGCTATAGCAGTTTAGAATTCAAGATGTGTGTGTGTATGACCCTCTATGAGCTTCCTCTTTAGAGCACATGATCTCCAGGCAACTCTCTGTTAGTTTGAGGGCCTGCATGGATGGAGGCTGGTCTCCCATGGCTGGAATTGTAGGAGTCTACAGTGAGAGGTTTCACCACATTGGGAAACCTCTCTGGGCTCCCAGAGAGAGGATCCCCTGCCCCTCTCTATCACAAGACTGCCTTGCTTTCCTCTCCTTCCTTGCCTTACACATTTTCTGTCACTTTTCTGTTGAATTTTAGCAATCTCATAGGTGATCTATTTGAAGTGTGATTACCTACTCACAAGTTTGGTTCTTCTTTGTGGAGGAGATTGAATGATGAGTGCTTCCAGTAGGCCATATTGAAGCCGTTCCCTCCTTTATATTTTTCTAATGATAGTTATTCTAAATTCTCTGTTCACTGTTTTAGTATCTATTTTATATCTAAATACCCTTATTTTGTCTTTTCAGACAGTTTTTCCTTGTCATTAGTCATGCTTTTAAATTTTTTATTGACAGCTGGCCAGGTTGCATAACTGATGTACACAGATCTTTATTGTAAGAATTTATCCTAATTTGACTAGTTCTTGGGTTGTTTTAATAAATCATGTATGTAATGTTTGTTTTAGCTTTAGATATAAAAGGCTTTACTTTTTCATCTAGTGTCTTTTGTCTTTATCTCCTCCTTTGGCTTTAGAGCTTTCCTATTTACTGCTCCTAGAAGAGAGACTGTCTTGTAACTCTCAGCAGTAATCCACTGTAATTAATCTGAAGACCTGTTGGCATGTTGGTAAGATGTTAGTAGGAGCATTCTATAAACTTCAGATTCAGCCTCAGTTGTTTAGTGGCCTTATGTCTTAGGATTTTGACTTTCACAAGTGTTGCTGTTTCTTCTTCAGTGGTTTAGCTTTTTGCTTCTCAAGCCCTACTCCTTTCTCTTGCTGTAACATTCCCAATATATTTCCTCCAAGCCTTGTCTCCTACTGAAGAGGGAGACCCAGGCATCTCAGA